ATCAATTGTCATGAAACGTCCATAATCCAACTCATGCAATTTGTTCAGAAGCTCCCAGCATAGGTTTGATTGTAAATATAATGTATAATCGAAAGAACCGTTCCGATTTTCCGATTTTTCTATAATTTTACTTAACTCGAATCCATCTTCAATTCCCTGTGATATCTCGGCGAATTTTCCTTCTGCAGTTTTTCGTGTAAATAAAAACATAACATTCATTTTAATCTTGTCATTCTCTTCGAGTTTCGTACGAACCTTTGATAATGTATCCTTAAGATTCAAATTGAATGCAGGTAGTTCGGAATCAGGGTAATGGACTATCACTTCTTTAACATTATCCTCTTTATCACTATCATCATCTTCCTTCTCTTTTTCCTTTTTCTTTTCATTTTCAACTTCTTCTAAAGGAAAATTGAATACAAACATTTTTAAAACATTTTTTGACATTAATATTTTTGTCTTTTTTTTTTTTGTAACACAATTAGATTCAGCCGTAATTGTCCTTTTTTTGGGAAAATTGCTATTGAAAATCAGCAGACGTTTCGCAAGGTCCATAATAAGTTAGTTATCAGATATCACTAAGCGCATATTTAAAAAAAATTTTCGAAAATAAAATTTTAAAGATTCCGATATAAAAATGATATTTATTGAAACCATAGATGATTCAAATTCTACGTCAGAACATTTATATTTGATTAAAAGTTCAAGACCGGGTTGGAACACTTTGAATGAAATATTCAAACTAGATTATAGACGTACTATGATTTTGATGGTATTAAGATTGCTAATAAAAAGGTATTTGTAATGACAAATTTGTAATGTTAACGGAGCTTGGTGAAAATTTTAACTTTGAAATTAAATCAACTTATCAATATACAGAATGTGGCAAACTATCATTGGAATTTAGTAAATATTTAAAACCAACTAAAAAGTTTAAGGAGACGGTAGAAGATGCTATAAAATTAAAAGAAGATTCTTTCCGACTGAAGTTATTTTAGGTGGAAGAGTTTATTTTAGAGATGTCGAAAAATCCGAAAAGATTTCTGCAGAAAAGTCCATGAATGGGAACCTTTAAATTCTGGTGTTTATTCTGGTGAAATAAATAGAACTTCAGAATTTTACAAGTTTAATCGAAATCACATGAGATTAGTTGGAAGAGAGCATCCTGAAGATAAAGATTTTAATGAAAAGGCTTGGATAGAATCATTAAATTGGGATTGTATAGAATTTCAAAATCATATCTATATTTTTATGCTTATTACCTGACAATCAATTTAAATCTGGAAAAGTTATTTCGGTTTCTCCAGAAAATTATTTAATTGTCAAATTCTAAATCCATCAGAAATACCAACGGATTTTAATTCTATATTTTCAGATATGAGTGAAAATGCAAAAAATGTACAATACGTGAAAATATAAATGTGCATTCATTGATCCATAACATAAGGTATTTATTTTTATTATTGAAATTTATATTTATAAATTTTATTATTCTAAATCAGGATATTTGAAGCTCAAAGAATTTTCTGCATTAAGTTTGAGAAAGTACATTTTCATCCTCGTAAGTTCTTATCTGTTTATAAATGTTAATAAATTTTTAAATCTTTAAACATATTTATTTATTTTTTGATCCAAGATTTATTTTCTTTAATTAAAATATAAAAATTGACAAATAGTCGAAATTGGTTTATTTATGCCGCCGCGATTTTCTTAGCAAAAAAGATGTAGTTGTTAAAATAAAATATATATATATTTGACGAAAGAAAATTATTTTTCATCAAAAAATTTACAATTATTGTAATACTCTTTTTAATACATTAAAATAAGAATATACAAATACTTTTACGCGTACTAATCGCGTAATACTTACAAAAATTTTTTGAAAAAACTGATACGGGCGGGTTATGAGAATCTAAAATAATCTATTTGCCAGGCCTAATGTGTAGCAATTTTAGCTAGGGATGGTAACGGTCGGTCGTGGTCAGTCAACGGTCGGTCAAAGGCCTTTGACCGACAGACCGGTTAACTGACCGGTTTTAACTGACCAGTTGACCGACCGGTTAATAGAACTATAATTTTGGTTTAATAAAAAGTTTTAATTTAAAACTACTTTGTCATTTTTATTAAATGGTGCAGCATTATCACCGATTTTTTTTCTTTTTTTTTTTAAAAAATTTATAATTAAAATAAAATGTTGATATATGGGTTGTTCAATCTAAAGTCGGTCGGTCAGAAGCCCTTTGACCGACCGATATCGGTCACGGTCATGACCGGTCATGACCGTGACCATTAGCATCCCTAATTTTAGAATTCATTTTTCCGGTTTTTTTTTTCTAATCGAGTCGCAGCGATCAAATATTTTTTATTTCCCGCGCTTTTCTCATTTTTTCTTAAAGTTTCTCTTTCGAGTTGGATCATTAAGTAAGATTTTTTTTGATTTTTTTTTTATATTTCTTGATATTTCGCTATTATATTTTTTCTATACAAAAGAAATTATATTATAAAGATGACAAGTGGCCTCCATATTTTATTATAGTCGTTGCGCTACTAAAAATAGATTCAATTTTTTTTTTTTTTTGGATTTTAAAGTAAGTACGCTTAATTTGGGTGATACAATAAAAAATCTTGTTAAAAAAGAACTACGCAAAGTAATTTTCAAGATGCGATACTTTGTAAAAATTAGAAAACTATGATTTATAGTATAATTTGACGAAATTGTCTTACTAGAATTTGGAACTTTTTTTTTTTTTTAAAAAAAAAAAAAAACACCATAGCATTTAATACCATATTGAAAATTCGTGATATGTATTTTTGTTTCCTTTTATTTAAGTTTTCCATTGATTTGAGTTGCACGAGGAGAAAAATGTTTAAAATTATATTATAAAAGAAATTCTCATTTAATACGACGATTTGGAAAGTTTAAGTTAATTATGTATGACGAAATTAAAAATTATTTTTACTGACGATATTAAAGTTGCTTTGAAATTTAATATTGCTTAAGTGTTTATGTATAAATATAGCTTGAAAAAATATAAATAAAAATGCAAAAACTTTTACTTTGCTCTCACTATAATGTAAATACAATTAATAATAATATTATACTATACTATCTGCAGTGTAAAAAAAAAACTTGAATATTTATTGAATAAAAAAATGTTGACAGAATTAAAATGCAATGATATGATCCCTACAAAATTTAATAGCATGTTCATATTCATTATAAACAGCCAATTTCATGTAATGAAGAGCTTTTTGTTCATCCTTCTTGCCAGCAATGCCATTATAATACAATTTTCCTGCATTATACATCGCGATCTTAAGACCATTATCCGCAGCTTTTTCAAAATATTTCAGAGCTTCTGAAAGATTCTTTTCAACACCTTTGCCATTAAATAGACAATCTCCATATCTTAATTTCGCTTCAGGAACTTCATTTGCCTCATCATTATCAGCGACTTCTTTAAATAATTTCGCGGCAACTTTATCTCTTTCCTTAGGGCTAAGATGTAATTCATCGAATTTTTTTGAAATGTAATATGCCTTATAATATTTAGCTTTGATTTGATCATATTTTGAATAAGCATCAAAACATCTATACGCAGCGATTTTATTTCCATCATTATTTTCATATATATGTTGTTTTACTGCTTCAGAAATTGTCATGTAACTGAATGATGCAAAATCTGGAAACTTATCTTCTTGATCAATATTGAATGATCGTTTCGGCTTTGACAATTTAAAATTTTGGTTTGGTGAAGGAACTGAATCATTAGATTTTGATGAAGAATTATACGGATATCTTTTGAAACAATTTCCAAGAACTTTAACCATCTCAGTAAGTTTTGGTCTGAAATTTGGATCGGGATTAACAGCTAAAGAGCGAGAAAGTACAAAAATAAAAAAAAATTTAAATTTTGCAAAAAAAAAAAAATAAAAGTCATTTTTACATACCATTATTGGCCAATTTTTTGAATTCTTCGGGAATCCCGCTAATTTTAGAAAATGTTTCCCGATATTTTTTCTTCCGTACAAGGTCGGATATATACAGAATATCATCAGATTCTTTATACGGAATTCTCGCTTCAGCGATTTCCCAAAGTAAGATTCCAAAGCTAAAAACTTCACACTTGTGATCATATTTGAAATTTGGAGCCCTCTCCAACAACTCGGGAGCACAATAGCGAACGCGTTCCAAATTGACACCATGATTTAATGTATCATCACTCGAGTACCGACTTAATTTAAAATTTGCAAGTTTCGCTTTTTCATCCAATGTAATTAAAATATTCTTGGATCTAATATCACGATGCACAATCTAAAAAAAAAAACAAAAAAAAAAAAATTCAATCAATTTTAAACTAAACGAGTTAAATGTTTGAAGCAATTAAAATAAATATTTACATCAACAGATCTTAGAAAATTTAATCCACGAGCAATATCAAGGGATATTCGTAATTTTAATTTCGTATCATATCGACCTTTATGATTTGTATAAAATTCGCGTAAATTTCCAAATTCAGCCCATTCTGTTACCAAATAAAATACATTCGCATTATTGACCAGTCCATAAATATTTATAATATTTTGAATATCTTGACAATTTTGAAATTCTTTAAGAATTGTAACTTGATTTTGTATACTATTTATGTCATCTTTTGCATTAGAAACATTCTTGAATGCAAATTCTTGACTTTGATCTTTAACAGCTACCCATTTAGTCACACTCTGCCGCGGTTCAACATGAGTTTCTTTATAATCCGTAAAATTTAATTTATGAACCCGGAAAATTTTATCGATTTTCTCTTGATCATGTACAGAGTTAATTCTCCCGCTTATTAATCTTTCCATTGTATTATGCATTGCATTGACTTTAACCACCATTGAGGAAACTTCTTCTCTAATTTTCTTGACATCACCAATTTCTTTTTCAATTTTCATTTCTTCGAGAAACTATGATTATTGTAAATGAAATAAATTAACAATCTAGCCTGAATCGAAAAATTCGAAACTCGAGAAATTAATTTTTAAACTCACTTTATTTAAATCAACTTGATCGGCTTGGAATTGTTTAACTACTTCTTCAACACGAATTTGATTTTTAAGGAATTTTAATGAATTGATACATTCATCGAGTTTTGAACAAAGCTCATCAAAACTTTTCTCAATACTGCCTGCTTGAATATACTTT